ATGATATCGGAATTCGGCGATCTTGGGCTCTTTGGATTCGTCTCGTCGAGCCGCTCGATTCGACTATAAGCATGTCATGTTTGGAAACCGTTTGGTAATCCAAATTGTGGTTTGAACCTGCCAAACGCTTCGGGTCTTCAATTCGGACTCATTTGGGCTCAGATTGAGTTGAATTTGTTGTCGTTGGTTTCGTATTTCCGAGACTCTCAGTTTGACTGTAAGTTTGCTGAAATCGGAGTTCAGACGATTCCAAATTTAATTTTTGAAGTTTCCAGATTAATTTTGCCTCAAGATTCGTTCCCGATCAAGATAATTTTTTTTGATGACATATCAATTATTATGATTTACGAATAGCTTGCCAGAAGTTGCAGCTTCTGCATGCTATATTCTCAATTCTAACTCCATTGCAAATGATAATGTTTTTGATTGTTGCTGCAATATAGAGGGGAGGTTTACTGTCAATTCCTTTCCTTTTACTCCTATATTGGGGTAGAAAGTACTTCTATCTTCATTCGCTTAGATTTCCCTTTTGGGCATAATGCAAATTTTTTTATTGGGCATAATACAAATTTTTTTAATACATTTATATATTTAATATCTAAAACATTATGCCTGTTTATATATCATATAAATCTCTAAATCAAATAAAAGTATAAGTAATATTACAAATTTTAATTTAGGTGGGATGATTTCAAAGTTTATAAGTAAAAATAATTTTTTTTTTAATTATTAAGCCATAGGCTCGTTCACACTATGCCAAGCTTTTTATTAAAAAAAAATAAATAAATTTAAAATATCGTAATTAGGATATACATAACTGAAGGCCAATGACTTATAAAATCACGCAAATTATCGTTGCTGAAGCCAGGTTGGGGACAAAATGGAAACATATTCGGACGTTTTTTGCTTTACTGTCAGCCTGTCAGGTTCGGGGATTTTTATTTGGTCCGGTGCAAGGACCTAGAGGAAGGTTCGGTTTTGCCTAAAAAAGTGCAAATACCGAGTTTTTTGAAAAAATACCGAGTTTTTTGAAAAACTCGGTATTTGCAGTTTTTGACCTATTTTTGTCTAAAACCGAACATTCCTCTACATCCAGTGAAAGGACCTAATAATTGCTCCAGGTTTGGTGCCCCTCTCCTCTATATTTATAATATAATTAAAAAAAAAACATTTGAGTGAGAAAAATGAGTTTTAAAATTTTGATTTGCGTTAATATAAGGACAACTTATGCAGTAATGAATTATTTATATATTATATT